CCATCCATCCATCCATCCATCCATCCATCCATCCATCCATCCATCCATCCATCCATCCATCCACCCATCCATCCAGGCATCCATCATAGTCTTTAGTAAACACACTGTAGTATTTTATCATTTAGATCAGTCTGAGGGTTTGGCAGACATTCTTTTATTTTATTTTTTTTTTATTTTGCCTCAATAATCTTTTTATCTATGTTTGCCTTGCTTTCAAAAATGTATGCAGTTCTTGTGGAGAATCACATTTTATGACTAAATCAAGAAATAAAAATCCACAAATTTCACAATTTCCTTTTGTCAGTTTTCCTTTTTCTTTTTTAAATGAACCACGTCATGGTATACCTGGACAGTGGTCATTCCCGTGTCTAGTCCAACCAGGATTCTCCTGTCCAGCAGCTTTGCAATCGGTGGATCCTCGACCTTCAGGAAGTCCCACACGAGCTCTGTAATGTCCACCTGCCAGTCGGTGCCCAGCATAAAGGTGGTCTGGCCTGGTGGATCAGCTGACTCAGCAATAAAGTGAGTCAGGACTTTGATCATGGCATGCTGGTACTGCAGAGTGCAGCTCCGCCCTCGCCTGTCTTCATCGTCCTCATCCTCGCTGTCCCATGTTGACCTGAAAAGCAAATAAACAAAAAAGCACTGTATGAGAGGAGGAAACAACTTATCTTTTAATTCAAATATGGCAAATTAACCCAATTAATGAACTCATTTCAGATCCTTGATAGTTTCTACCATTTAACTGTCTAATATAAGACAAATCCGACTAATGTGTGTCTTGTGTTCTTTTCAGCAACATTCTTTGTGAAACATGCAGATTGGTGCAACTTAATCAGGAAGGTTGACTCAATAAAAACTATTTATGATGAAACGTCATTGATCAAAGCGATACGAGATGCTCCATCCAGTCAATGGCCATCATTCTTCTTTTTTCGGTGCCTCTCCCTCACCGTTTTCGAGCACCAGCTCTGAATTGTAAATGTGCTTACACCTCCTTACTGCTTTACTTAATAGCCTCCCTGATTGCTCCTTTGCTGGCAAATCTAATTTTATTACTTCGAGCAACAAATCAGCCAATGGAGGCACAACTCTTTCTTAGCAGGAAAATTGCCCCAAGTTTGACAAACTGGGTCTAAATGGTTACGATATAATTAGATTTTGCCTGTAAGTGCTTTTCTCTCTATTGCTTCAACAAACACCTTTATAAAAACTACAAATAAAGCACCCTGAGTTGTTGAGAAAGCAACCCCCTTGAGTTGTTGATCTGGGAGAATAAATGCTGCTACAGCTATTCAATCTTTCCCCGATGCACAGCTGGGTTACTTGCAAACAGAAAAAGGTTTTGTCAACACATATATTAATCATCCGCATATAGACTTACATTTACCTTTCTGTTTAATCATCATCATTTGTTCCTTTGTTTCCCTTTCTCTCTTCCACGTACACACTAACAAAGGTTGTGAATGAAATAAAAGAAAAGAAGAAAGGAAGTAAATCTCTTAAACAGTTTTTTTCCTGTCGATTATCCGCTCTGCTTGTCTCTTTCTGTCCGAATCCCCGAGGAAATCTGACTGACTGCTAAGCTGTGGGAATAAAGATGTTAGCTGCGAGCTCGAGGAAAAAAAGCCAAGAGTACAGAGAGATTTGAAGTTAAGAGCTTAAAAGCTTTGCTGGCAGGACAGATTTCACATGCATCTGAATGATGGCCATTAACCAAAAATATATTCTGAAGAGGACAGATCTATATATTCAGGCGTCATCACAAGTGCTCCAACTGAGGGATACTCACTCTAATTCAAGCTGCAGTGATCAGGGCTGCTGAGATTTTTTTACTTTGTTGTTGAATCCAAGCACAAAACAAATTGCATTATAACTTTTCCACTAGTTTTTTTCCAACAATCAAACCACAGTTTTAGCATTTCTTTTTAAAATGTGTCAGTTTAAAGCCACTGCAAATAACAACAGATCTTCCAACAACATGATCCAAACAAACCAACTGCTGTCGGATTTGGAGTGAAATGGTGCCAAAGCCTGATTAGCATGAGAGTGACTCAGTTCACATTAAATCAGAGACAAATGTAGAAAGAAAAAAAAATTAGGAAGAACAAACAAAGTCTGTGTGACCTTGACCTGTCCATGGTTGTTACTGTTGATCACATAAAACCTTCATTCTTGATCTGATATTAATTTAGGCCAAAATGAAAATGCAAGTTTGAGGAAAATAACACAGAGAGATTTAGGAGAAAGAAAGTAGTAAACAGACATTCATTTGGTCCTTTTCCTCTGATTTGACTGTTTGCTAAAGATAAATGTGCACTGATAAATCTGCTTTTTGCCTTTTTGAGTCGTTTCTGTTACTGTTGTTTTTTTTATGCTTTTATTTTGATTTGTGTGTTTAAACAGTTCTAGATGAATAATTTGGACTTTAAGTCATAGGGGTCAAATTTATTATTATACCTTTTCCAAATTCTCCAAATTTGATCTGTTAATCTGGTGATATGCGCTGCTGATTACCCATCCTGCTGATCTCACGCTGCTGATTATTTCATGCAGCTGTATTCATTCGTACTCATCTACTCACACAGACTCATGTTCGTGCTGCTGTTGTTCGGTGTATTGTTTTTGCACCTTTAGTGTTTTTGCGTATTCTTAATTTATATCTTAGATCCTTATTACTGTTTCTTTTTACAATTTATATTTTTGCTATTGTTGGATGTAAATGGGACCCTATGTACACAATTTTATTCCACCTCATGTACCACATGTGATGCGAACGACAATAAAACCTACTTGCACTTGAACTAAATATCTTTGTTCATAAATTCTTTTATTTAAGATACAAATTATGAACTATTATTTGATATTTCTGGATTCATTCTACAAACTTTGTTTATAGTTTATGTTATTATACAAATCTTCATGCAGGAGAGGAAAACATCTGCCAAACATTTATTCCCATCATTGCAGGTGACAGGCACTGAACGTCTCTTTTAGAATCCTTTGAGACTTTTAGAGTAAAAATAAATTATAAAAACATAACGTTTATAAGAACTTTAATGTCAGATGTTACTGACATTATGTCTTATTTAAAAAGACAGACAATAAATATGCAGTATATTAGTGGATATGAGGTCTGTGAGTAAATAATGTTAAATAATTTTAGCCTGAATATAAATCTGAGCCAAATCTTCTGCAGTCATCTCAAAATCTAATCTAAGTTGATCTAATAAACAAATCACACTGTGCCGAGAACAACCTGCTCCATAAAGCATGACCTTTTTTCCACCATTCACTTTCCAGTCCACTTCGGACTTCAGAGAAGAAGCTGCATATTGACGTGTCTTGTTTATTGTTGTTGCGCCCTGTGCAGCTTTTATTTTGACGTTTTTGCTGCATTTCATTTTTTTGCTTGGCCGATGGAGGTCATTTGGACAGAAATAGGCAGCATTGTTTCTGTACATACGGGGGGGGGGGGCGATAAGGGCTAATTGCATGTTTTGTTGGATCTTGGAACATTTTCAGGACAAATGATGATTTTCCAGGATAAAGAGAACGCCCAGTGAAACCAATAAAACTAAAAAAATATATAGCAAACTAAAAGACAACTGCAGGGAGGTTCTCACACATCAAACACATCTCTTAAGACAGATGTATGGAGTAAAGTGTTGAAGTCATGCATGCCCAGGTGTTACAGGTTTTTTTTTTGTCTGAAGTCTTATCTCGTCCCTTCTTTGACGGGACTTAGGAAGGGAAGAGATGAAGCCATACAGGCAGTGTCAGTCAAAAATGGACTGAGGAGTACATTTCCAGCTCTAACAGGCCTGATGTCTCTTTATTTTTCATTTCTCTTTCTCGCCCCTGCATGGCCACAACGTCCCAGCCTGACTGATGGAGGGAGGCTAAGCCACTTGTTATTGTCACTCATTGGCTTAGTTCCTTGTGGGCTTATGGACAGCGGACTGATGCTTGTTCTCTCCAGCAGGCGTTGGGCTACAATACAAGGTCATGCCTGTTATCCCCTGATAAACAAAGACAGTTGGAAAACAGGGAGAAACAAAGCTCTCTGAAGCCATCAGCAGTGGTGATGGTAAAAAAATAAAAAAATAATAAGTCAGCTTGACTGTCCTCCCTGATAAAGGCATACATACCAGCACACAGCTGGAAAAGCAACATACCCAACAAGCTGTGACATTAGCTGAATGCTGCACCTCTGTCACTCAAAACAAGAGGGGAGCATGGGTAATTAGAGGAGACAGACCGGTGCATGGGATGACTCCAAGTCCAACTTCAACACTTTCCAGATGTAATTACTGTAGGTAGGCTGATAGCTGCTCCGTCACTTGATGGATTCCTACTCTTGCCGTGTAGCGGTGCAGTAGCAGTGCTGGCAGAGGTGCTTCTAGTGACGAGGCCTCAGGAAAGAGCTCTGACCTCCAGACAGCTCTAATAATGTGCTGTCCCTCTGACAACTAAGAGGTACAATGGCAGGACACCTCGAGCCAGTGATAATGACACACTGTATTGCACAGGTCAGCCATTTTGTCATCAACCAAGAACTGCCAAGGAGACCGAGGCAGGAAGTGACAAGTGAAAAGGTGTTCAATCACACAGGCATGATTACCTTAGGTTTTATGACCAAAAAACAAACAAACAAAACAACAACATGAGAGAAAAAAAACTGACTATTCTACAGGATTGGCTTAGCTATGCCACAACAGATTATAGCTCAATAGCTGTAAAACTGATTGAATTGGACCCACCCTCTTCACAATCTGCATAGGTAATGTAAGTCAGATCACCCCTGATGCATCCTTACATTTCTCTGCTGATGATACAGTTGTTTATTGTCAAGCTAAAATAGCTGCTAAGGTTTTCCACCTTTTGCAATTTGCTTTTGACATAATCTAGTCTGATTTGTTCCATCTCCAACTGGTGTTAAATGCCAATAAAATCAAAGGGATGTTGTTTTCAAACAGGAAGTTTGTCCCAGCAGTCCTTCCCTCGATTTTATCATCAAATGGTGCTCCTACTGAGTTTGTTGATTCCTACAAATACTTGGGTATCTTGGTCGATGCACATCTTTCTTTTAAACCCCTTGTCGAAAACTTGGTAAAGAACCTGAAAATTAAACTGGGTTTCTTTTTCAGAAATAGATTCTGTCTAACCCTGAATGCTAGAAAACAACTTGTATCTGCGACTTTCCTTCCCTCAATTGATTACGGTGACATTATTTACATGAACGCTCCTACAAGAACCCTGCAGATGTTGGATGCTGTCTATCATGGTGCACTAAGATTCATAACTGGCTGTGATTATCGTACCCACCACTGCACCCTGTATTCACTGATTAACTGGTCATCATTAACTTCACACAGACTCTCTCACTGGTACATTTTCACCTTTAAATCACTTCTTGGTCTGTTGTCTTCATACATCTCCTCCTACATGTCCTTGTGTGAGTGCAGCTACAGCGTGCGCTCTCAGGACATTATTACCTGCAGTGTTCCCTCATTGAGGACTGAACTAGGCAAAAGGACCTTCTCCTACTCCACTCCTGTTTTTTTCATTCAACCTTTATTTAGACAGGTAAATCCCATTGAGACTTGAGGACTCATTTACAAAAGAGACCTGATTTCAACAAGGAATGATGACAACAATGGACAACATCGACAACAATAAACAGTTATAAAAAGTCATACAGATTTTTTCTTTTTTTTTTTTTTTTTTACAAATAAGATGGCTAAAAAAAAGGTAACAAAAAAACAGCTAGATTCTAAGGCAAATGTAAAAAACTAAAAACAGGAACATGTCTGCATTGGACCCTGCCAGGAGTCCAACAGATTCATAAAGCCACTTAGAGAGGTCAAGGTCGAGAACTTCAAATCTTTTTGCAAGATATTCCAGGAAACAGGAGCGGAGTACGAGAAGGTCCTTTTGCCTAGTTCAGTCCTCACTGAGGGAACACTGCAGGTAATAATGTCCTGAGAGCGCACGCTGTAGCTGCACTCACGCAGAGACATGTAGGAGGAGATGTATGAAAGCAGCAAACCAAGAAGTGATTTAAAGATGAAAATGTACCAGTGAGAGAGTCTGCGTGAAGTTAATGATGTCCAGTTAACCAGTGAATACAGGGTGCAGTGGTGGGTACGATAATCACAGCCAGTTATGACTCTTAGTGCACCATGATAGACACCATCCAACATCTGCAGGGTTCTTGTAGGAGTGTTCATGTAAATAATGTCAATGGAGGGAAGGAAAGTCACAGATACAAGGTGTTTCCTAGCACTAAGAGTTAGACAAGATCTGTTTCTGAAAAAGAAACCCAGTTTAACTTTCAGTTTCTTTACCAAGTTTTTCCACATGGAGCTTAAAAGAGAGATGTGAGTCGACCAAGATACTTTTCCTGGAATATCTTGCAAAAAGATCTGACGCTCTCAACCTTGACTTCTCTGAGTGGCTTCTAACATCTGCTAAGTTCCTGGGAAAAATCAACGCAGACATGTTTCTATTTTTAGTATTCTACATCACCTTATAATGTAGCTGTTTTTTATATATATATAATTTTCTTCCATTTATTTTTTTCAGTTTATATGCTTTCTTTTATGATTGTCTACCATTGTCATCACTCTTTGTTAAAACAGATCTCTCTTGTAAATGCGTCCTCAAGCCTCAGTGAGACTAACCTGTTTAAATAAATGTTGAATGAATTATGGCAATTCATGGATTTTCTAAGGCTGACTAGCTGTGGTGGCCATCTTTACTTTATGTGACTCTAAAACTCAATCAGCTGTAGATCTACATTCATTGATTGCTTTCTGAAAATATCCCAAGTGCTTCACAAGCTATTTTGCTAACAGACAAGCACTGTTATTTGGCAACGACTCAAAAACAGATCTCAGATCAGTCAGTGCTCAGAGTATGTGATATGAATGTCTCTCAACTACTACCACGCTAATCTCAGCTCAGTATCAATAAAGATTGTACAAAGACATACATCCTTGTCTTTCCATGCTCTGTCACTGAAACAGTTATAACTTTATACAGAACACCATTTCAAACATGAGCAGACTGTTCCTTTAATCAGCCATAAATGCAAATTCAGTGATTACCGGTACTTTCTGAGAGTTTAAAGCAACCTACTTGTTCATGAGATATTTTGCTGACACAACAGACAAACGAATGCATACAGAAGGGCTCCTAAGATAGAGAACTTTACTAATTGGCTTTTATGTACGTGAATGTTCTTGTAAAGTGCCCTGAGACAACTTTGTTGTGATTTGGCGCTATATAAATAAACTGAATTGAATTGAATTGAATTGAATTGAATTGAATTGAATTGAATTGAAGGGTGTACACCTCATTCCCTTTGGAAGTGATTAAACTGTATTTTCATGAATCAAACATGCATCAACTCTAATGATTTCTGTGTGACTTCATTATTTTATACCTAACTCAAATTATGCTTAAATAAATGCACAGCATAGCACACAAGGAAAGTGGTGAATAAAACCCGGACACATTCAGAGAAAAGTTAAAGAAGCTACAAGACTTTAAACTTTTTGCAGCGCACAGGCCCACAGCTGTGTGAGCAGCAGCTGGTTTTACCTCTGCCCGGCGGCTGCGATGGGCACCCTCCACCCTCTGATTTGGCTCAGCTCTGTGTCTGACACCTCAATCTGAAGGGGGAGACGAGGGATCCACACGCGGAGCTCCAGCTGAGTGCCGAGGTGTCCGTAAGTGAAATTCACCATCATCTTCACCTTGCCCTTCATCTCCTTGCCATTCACAAAAACGTAGTCGCACCTGTCAGACACCTGCGGAGGAGAGAGGGGGGTGATTGTTAAGACAGTTTTTTCCCCATGTGGTGCTCTTCTAACAGCTGCACTAGATAACTACACACTGATAATGTAGACCTACACTGTCTCATGGACACAGACTGTGTTTACTGTGCGAGCCTCGTTCTATAAGTTTATTTTAAGGCTCCACTCTTCCAAGCTCTCCACTGATGTACAACGTTATTCCTCTAACAACTTTGAAGAAGATGAAAGGTCCTGCGCAGTATGAGCCCAACACTCAGGAAGAGAGGGGCCGAGGGCAGCGAGGACTTGTTCAAACCTGAGGGAAAACAGGCCGTGCGTAGTTTGCTACTTTATTACTGCTCAGCTTGCAGCTCAAAGCAAAACCAACAGATGGAAACTGGAAAGAGGGGAGCAGTTGTGTCGAGATAAAATGACCGAACTCAAAGCCATCTGTTTTGTAAATGACTTTAAGGAACGAGCGGGCCTGTTCTGTGCTGCAGAGAGACACAACTCCTTGTTGTTTTGATTTTTTAAAGTTCCCAAATGCTCCCTTCTTCACACTAGCTTTTAATCATTGCTTGGATTACTCCCTCTCTGTCTCTTAAAAACCTCAGCACCACATCAAGAATAAAAAAAAATAAAATAAAGACAGTCATAGGGGGATATTCGGCGAACACACACTGGCAGAGATAGAGGTAATTAATCAGCAGCTAAACGGAGACACAGGTTTTTTGGGGGGACACTTTGTCAATCGTATTGATCCTATCATGTAGCAGACTGTGATAGCAACAACTGCATTGGAATTAGATGGTCTGGGAAAATATCTTTTTTCCCCCCTTCCCCCTTATTTCTCCACAGCGAGATAAAACTGGAAACAGCCATTCATCATGGAGCTGGAGCAGGATATACTCTGTGACGGATTTTGGTCTCCTGCACTTCATCTCAGCTTAGCAGTAGTTTCTGTAGTGCAGTGGGAACTATATTTCCCTGTTAGATCCATACACACAGTAAGCAAATGTGATGCATTGCTTAAATAACCTGCACCTGGACACGTAGCATTCAACCTGTTTGCGTGTTGAGGTTAGTGTCAGAGACTTACCGGTTTATTGCTATAACTCACATCCATGTAAAGACATGAGGGAAAACAAACTGATGCAAACTGGAGCAAGAAACTAAAGAAACAATATGATGCAACAAACTGATACTAATAGAGTACAGTACAGCAAATAGCATCATTTTATGCAATTCGGCATAGAATAAAGCTGCCTGATGCCACTTGGAAAGCCACAAACTTTACAAATTGTCAACCTACAGTGGCCCTGAGGTGTAAATGAACAACATTTGAAAAAACAGAATTACATTTGAAAAACACAACAACATTTGAAAAAACAGAATTACATTTGAAAAACAACATTTGAAAAAATGGAATTACATTAAGTCAAAGTGGAAGTGGCCAGAATCAAATTTGAAAAAAATGGAATCACATTCGAAAAAAGGAATTACATTTGAAAAAACGGGATCATTCAAAATTATATAATTTTAGTTTTTATAATGTAATTCTGTTTCTTCAAATGTAATTCTTTTTGTAATGTGATTCTGTTTTTTCTTATGTGATTCCGGCCACTTTCGCTTTAGCCACTTCCGCTTTGGCTTAATGTAATTCAGTTTTTTCAAATGTAATTTAATTTTTTCTAATGTAATTCAATTTTTTCAAATGTAATTCCTTTTTTTCTAATGTGATTCCTTTTTTTATAATGTGATTCCTTTTTTTATGTGATTCCGTTTTTTCTAACGTGATTCTGATTCTGTTTTTTCAAATGTAATTCCGTTTCATCTAATGTGATTCCAGCCACTTCTGCTTTGGCCACTTCCGCTTTGGCTTAATGTAATTCCGTTTCTTCAAATGTAATTTCATTTTTTCTATGTAATTCAATTTTTTTCAAATGTAATTCCTTTTTTGTAATGTGATTCCATTTTTTATGTGATTCCGTTTTTTCTAACGTGATTCTGTTTTTTCAAATGTAATTTCGTTTTTTCAAATGTAATTCTGTTTTTTTTTTTGTTTTTTTTTTCAAATGTGATTCTGGCCACTTCCGCTTTGGCTTAATATGATTCCATTTTTTCAAATTTAATAAAAATTTTCTAATGTGATTCTGTTTTTTTCAAATGTGATTCCGGCCACTTCTGCTTTGGCTTAAAGTAATTCAGTTTTTTCAAATGTAATTCCATTTTTTCTAATGTGATTCTGTTTTTTTCAAATGTGATTCTGGCCACTTCCGCTTTGGCTTAATGTAATTCAGTTTTTTTCAAATGTAATTCAGTTTTTTCAAATGTAATTTATTTTTTATTTTTTTATTTTTTTCAAATGTGATTCTGGCCACTTCTGCTTTGGCCTAATGTAATTCCGTTTTTTCAAATGTAATTCCATTTTTTTCAAATATTGTTGTTTTTCAAATGTTGTTCATTTACACCTTAGGGCCACCGTACCATCAACCTCAAACTGAAAGCTTTTTTGTTATTTTCCACAGGATGGGAGAAATGTTCAGCACATTGGTCTGTCATATTTAAGAATGTGAAGTCTCTAAGTGGGCATTTTTTCAAGAATGTGACATTTAGATCGAGAACTAACTCTGCTGAGAGGTGTATTTTTGAAGACCGCATAGTTCTGATCAATATTGTAGGCATTTCTGACCAGCTTTCCACAAAGTTTTAAATTTAGTTTAGCTGCCTGCCTCTATTAAAACCTTAATATTGGACGATACTCAGACACTACCACACCTGTTTTAGCTCAATATCTGCAGAACTGTTTGAGTTGAAGCCATTTTTTGTTAACATTTTCATTGTCTAAAAGTTATTCCAGTACAGAAATACATACATGTACAATAATTATTTCTAAGAGGTATCATTTAAATCTGTCCAGAGGTTCATGTGATATTTTGTTAACAGACAGACACACTGACTTACGCAATTACACGACCGTCCATCTTTCATGGCAGTAGGCAATAAACATGTCTGTCCATAAAGGTGAATAATGACATAAAGCCAGGACACTCAGGACACGTGTGATAAAATGATCAGGAAGGAACCTCAAATGGCTGTAAATTGTAGTTGACTGCAAAGTCCTTCACTCAAGTTTTGTTGTTTTGAAATGTGATCTATAAATAAATTTGATCTTGAACTTGACCTGGAGGGGTGGGGGTGGGGGTGTCTGAGGAGAATACAGCACAGAAACATGACACATCATGTTGCTGCAAGGCCACATGTCTCCAAGCTATTTATATTAGGAATCAGCTCTGTTGCTGTGTGTGATGAGATACGGATCAACACGGTTCCATCTTCATTCAGATTACTGCTATCAGTGCCAGATTTTCTGAGCTTTCAACAATTCTTCAACTTCCATTCTGACAAGTATTTCAGGCCTCGAATAGATCCAATATCAACATGACGACTTTATCACTTTTATCTTAACACAGCCTCGATTCTGAAGGAATTGGAATGTTGTGCAAAATGTAAATAAAAAGAGAACATAATAATTTATAAATCTTATGAGTCCATATTTTATTCAGAAAGAAACATAGTAAATATATCAAATGTTTAAGCTAATATATGGTACATATATTTTGAGATGAGGTCATTTTAAATTAGATGGCAGCAACAGACTTAAAAAAAAAAAAGTTGGTGGAGTGCCATGTTTACCACTGGGAAGTATTCCCTTAAACAAAACAACAACAACAACAGTTTTTAAACATTTAGGAACTGAGGAGACCAGCTGCTGGAAATTTTGGAGGAGAACGTCATCCCATTTTTTTTTATCAGATATATGTTCTAGCTGTTCAGCAGTCTTGGCTCTTCTATGCTGAAGTTTTTGTTTTATGATGCGTCAAAGGTTTTCAGTTGGTGAGACTGCTGGCAGACCAGTTCAGCACCATTGAGGACATTCTGTCATAATGGATGCAGCATTGGCATCAGTAGTATCTGTAATGTGGTGGTGGTGGTGGTGGTGGGGGGGAGGCACTGGTGTGTGTGTGCGTGCATACACCCCCCTAGGGTTGCCAACTGTCTCGTAAAAAACGGAATTGTCCCGTATTTAGAAACAAAGTAAGTGTTCCGTATTGAGCTGCAATGGGACGCACTTTGTCCCGTATTATCATGAAAGTCAAAAAACACGTCCGTGAGTTAGAATGATGGGGCGCTGTATATGGGATTTGACGGTAAATTAACTCCCACTCTCTCCTGCTCTGTGACCAATGAGCAGTCTTCTTACTCACGAAGCCCTGAATCCGGCTCATCTTATTGGTCCAGCTCCTGTTGTTTTATCACAACCGCCGACAGGCAGGATTCGACGACATCATGGACACGAGCGGCGGGAATTCAGAGGATTTAAACAGCGTGCACGGTTCATCTTCCATTAATAACCCGACTACTCCTCCCAGAAAAACAAAGAAACGGCTGCAAAAATACAGAATCGACTGGCTGGAAAGAGTGCACGCTAATGGCTATAAAGCACATTGTACTGTCTGCCAGCGCACGTTGTCTGTAGCTCATGGTGGACAGTTTGATGTCAAACAGCTTCCACCGCTGGACACATAAGAAATGTGAAAGACAATAAAACCAGGAGAATCCTTGACCAGTATTTGTCCACTGGGCAATGCCAGAGGCAGATATGGTATGTAAAATAATAACTATATTACAAAAGCATAAGCTTAATGTGTAAAAGTGCAATGAATGTGAACATTAAAGGCCAAATATATTTTTATTGTGCTAAACAAGTAGAATAAAAAAACAAACATAAAATAGATAAATAAAAAAATACACAAATGAATTTATATAGTATTTCTTATGTTTATGATTACTGCAGAGACAGTCCATATACACCACACTGTGAAACATACTTTAAGGTACAACTGTGGATTTAAGTTGACTCTCCAAACACTGAATAACTCCAGCATTGCCAAGAAGATGTCCTGTGGGAGGATGAAGGCTGAGGCTGTGGTCACCGATGTCCTGAAGATGTC